CTCTGTCCTCAACTCTGTCCTCAACTCTGTCCTCAGCTTTCTGTCCTCAGCTCTCTGTCCTCAACTCTATCCTCAGCTTTCTGTCCTCAACTCTGTCCTCAGCTCTGTCCTCAGCTCTCTGTCCTCAGTTCTCTTTCCTCAGCTCTCTGTCCTCAACTCTCTGTCCTCAACTCTCTATCCTCAGCTCTGTCCTCAACTCTGTCCTCAACTCTGTCCTCAGCTCTCTGTCCTCAGGTCTGTCTTCAGCTCTCTGTCCTCAACTCTCTTTCCTCAGCTCTCTGTCCTCAACTCTCTGTCCTCAACTCTCTATCCTCAGCTCTGTCCTCAACTCTCTGTCCTCAACTCTGTCCTCAGCTCTCTGTCCTCAGCTCTCTGTCCTCAGCTCTGTCTTCAGCTCTCTGTCCTCAACTCTCTTTCCTCAGCTCTCTGTCCTCAACTCTCTATCCTCAGCTCTGTCCTCAACTCTCTGTCCTCAACTCTGTCCTCAACTTTCTGTCCTCAACTCTGTCCTCAACTCTGTCCTCAGCTCTCTGTCCTCAACTCTGTTCTCAACTCTGTCCTCAGCTTTCTGTCCTCAACTCTGTCCTCAGCTCTGTCCTCAACTCTCTATCCTCAGCTCTGTCCTCAACTCTGTCCTCAGCTCTCTGTCCTCAACTCTCTGTCTTCAACTCTCTGTCCTCAGCTCTGTCCTCAGTTCTCTGTCCTCAACTCTGTCTTCAGCTCTCTGTCCTCAGCTCTGTCCTCAACTCTCTGTCTTCAGCTCTCTGTCTTCAACTGTCCCAGCTCTCTGTCCTCAACTCTCTGTCCTCAGCTCTGTCTTCAACTCTCTGTCCTCAACTCTCTGTCTTCAACTCTCTGTCCTCATCTCTCTGTCTTCAACTCTCTGTCTTTAGCTCTGTCTTCAACTCTCTGTCTTCAACTGTCCTCAACTCCCTGTCCTCAACTCTGTCCTCAACTCTGTCTTCAACTCTCTGTCCTCAGCTCTGTCTTCAGCTCTCTGTCTTCAACTCTCTGTCCTCAGCTCTCTGTCCTCAACTCTGTCCCCAGCTCTGTCTTCAACTCTCTGTCCTCAGCTCTATCTTCAACTCTCTGTCCTCAACTCTCTGTCCTCAACTCTGTCTTCAACTCTCTGTTCTCAACTCTCTGTCTTCAACCCTCTCTCCTCAGCTCTCTGTCCTCAACTCTGTCTTCAACTCTCTGTCCTCAGCTCTCTGTCCTCAACTCTGTCTTCAACTCTCTGTCCTCAGCTCTGTCCTCAACTCTGTCTTCAACTCTGTCCTCAGCTCTGTCTTCAACTCTCTGTCTTCAACTCTGTCTTCAGCTCTCTGTCCTCAGCTCTCTGTCCTCAGCTCTCTGTCTTCAACTCTCTGTCTTCAACTCTCTGTCCTCAGCTCTGTCTTCAACTCTGTCCTCAGCTCTGTCTTCAACTCTCTGTCCTCAACTCTCTGTCCTCAGCTCTCTGTCTTCAACTCTCAGTCTTCAACCCTCTGTCCTCAGCTCTGTCTTCAACTCTCTGTCCTCAGCTCTGTCTTCAACTCTCTGTCTTCAACTCTCTGTCCTCAGCTCTCTGTCCTCAGCTCTCTGTCTTCAGCTCTCTGTCCTCAGCTCTCTGTCTTCAACTCTCTGTCCTCAGCTCTGTCCTCAGCTCTCTGTCTTCAACTCTCTGTCCTCAGCTCTGTCTTCAACTCTCTGTCTTCAACTCTCTGTCCTCAGCTCTCTGTCCTCAGCTCTCTGTCCTCAGCTCTCTGTCTTCAGCTCTCTGTCCTCAGCTCTCTGTCTTCAACTCTCTGTCCTCAGCTCTGTCTTCAGCTCTCTGTCTTCAACTCTCTGTCTTCAACTCTCTGTCCTCAGCTCTCTGTCCTCAGCTCTCTGTCCTCAGCTCTGTCTTCAACTCTCTGTCCTCAGCTCNAGAACCATCAGATGATGGATCAGGACTCTGAGGTTCTTTAGAAGGAACATGGGTGGAAGAACCATCAGATGATGGATCAGGACTTTGAGTTTCTTTAGAAGGAACATGTGTGGTAGAACCATCAGATGATGGATCAGGACTCGGTGGTTCTTTAGAAGGAACATGTGTGGTAGAACCATCAGATGATGGATCAGGACTCTGTGGTTCTTAAGAAGGAACACGTTTGGTAGAACCATCAGATGATGGATCCAGGACTGTGGTTCTTTAGAAGGAATGCATTTGGTAGAACCATCAGATGATGGATCAGGACTCTGTGGTTCTTAAGAAGGAACACGTTTGGTAGAACCATCAGATGATGGATCCAGGACTGTGGTTCTTTAGAAGGAATGCATTTGGTAGAACCATCAGATGATGGATCAGGACTCTGTGGTTCTTAAGAAGGAACACGTTTGGTAGAACCATCAGATGATGGATCCAGGACTGTGGTTCTTTAGAAGGAATGCATTTGGTAGAACCATCAGATGATGGATCAGGACTCTGTGGTTCTTAAGAAGGAACACGTTTGGTAGAACCATCAGATGATGGATCCAGGACTGTGGTTCTTTAGAAGGAATGCATTTGGTAGAACCATCAGATGATGGATCCAGGACTGTGGTTCTTTAGAAGGAACATGGGTGGAAGAACCATCAGATGATGGATCAGGACTGTGGTTATTTAGAAGGAACACCTTTGGTAGAACCATCAGATGATGGATCAGGACTCTGGTTCTTTAGAA